CATCCCGGTTATGAGAAGGGTTTGTCGCAACGGACGGACGGCGGAAAGTCTGTGTTGCTCCATTCATGCGAGTTCGAGACCTGCATGTCCCCGGTTGAGGATGAGTTGTCAGTTTAACTCCGCCACGCAAAACCGCCGGGAGGCACTAGGACGGCGGCCAAAGCAGCGAGTAGACCGCATAGAACCAGTTAGAAGAGCATTGCGTACCATTCTCCACCGGCAGAGCCATCCCCTCTCCTGTTCGAGGAGTCGTGGGTGTTGCCAGCGGCGGCCGAGGCAAAACTAGACGGAAGTGGCGTGGGCATTATGAAGGTCGGTAGCTGGGCGACGGACGATAAGAATGCCGGTCCAGTTGGGAAAAAGAGAGAAGTTCGGGGAGACGAGAATCTAGAAGAAAGGTTTAAGTTAAAACCGTGGATTGTGAAAACAAAAAGGAGCGATGCGAACGTTTTTTTCTGGGGGAAGATGTGGAAGGGTGGGTTGGAGACAAGCAGCAGTCCGTAGAGCTGGTGAGGAGAACGGATCAGCGAGGGGGAGAGAGGCAGACAGCAAGGTGGAGGAGGACAGTAAGACGATTGGGGGGGAAGAAAAAGAACACACCTTTGTGTCTTTGGGATAGAGATCTTGAAAGAAGCCGGGGGCGGATTGAGAGTCGAGGTCGAAAACAAGAACGCTAGACGATCCAGAGTCGAGATCAGAAGATCGAAAGGATCGAGAGTTCCTGGCAGGTCAAGAAAAATGAAGAGGCTTGCGGCGAATTAGCTGGTGGCCGTGGAATTACCACCGTACGGGTCGTGACAGACGTGACGAAGTGACTGTTTTCGTTGTTTTTTCTGTGTTTTTTACTTCGTTTTCGCGCTTTTGGTCGTACCGCCAGATCGCCTTGTGCGACCGCAATTGGTTTATTATTTTTATTACCTCAGCCCACACTGGTTGTGAAACTGCCGCACAAATTGGTGGTCTGGTTTCTGTTCTTTTTTTTTCTTCGCTGGATAGATTCCAGGGAAGGTCGGGTATAGATAGATAGCTCATCCTCAGCCTTACATGTGGTGCAAGCTGCCCATCGCAATTAATTTCAGTCTACAGGTGACAGGTCAGATTTGACCCGACTATCTCCAGTTATCCCAAGATTCCCCCAAACCTGGAGTTTGATGGTGCATTTCCGGGACAGTGCGTGGTCATAATATCCCCAGACAAACCTACGACGGATTACTGCCACGCCGACACCGTCACTGGTGGTTTGGCCGCAAACGCTTTGGTTTCTCTCGACGTGTCGCTTCAACTCAACGTCAGAGAAATTCCACTGGGATGGAGAGGAAGCTCTCCCCCGGGTATTTTTAAAATGTCAGAAAAATTTTTGAGGGTCGGGCTATTTACATAGTATTGTGGTTAGCCAGCTTCCAACTCCCTGCTTTCTACTTTTTCATGGTATATACTATTCAAAGCTAGTAGGCAGGTAATTCAGCACTGCATAATGTAAGGCATCATCAATGAATTGTGTGGGAGAAGAAGTCAGTGTCGTCACTCTGAAGAACAATCTTCCTTACCAACCCCATACATACCATACGGCCAACGTACATGCCAGGTACACCCATATACTAAATTAGGTGGCCAGTGACTTGCCAGTGACTTCCATCCGTACCGTACCCCAACCTCCACTCTGCGGCCTGAGGCACGTATCCCATCGCAGCTTTACTTAACAAGCAATCATCAACAGTCAGTACAACACAACATCACAATCCTCGATCTGCAACAATCCGGTTTGCCTGCAGTGCTGCAGGCAGACATTTTTGCACGGCCATCGGCTTCTTGTACGATCTTTCATCCAAAATCTACATGGATGATGCTTGTGGCTTGTTTCTGCTAACGTATCATCCACTGCCAATATACAGGTCATTGACAGTTTGATGCTCAATCATAAAATACCTTCTTTATCAACACTGGGGATGATCAGACCAGAGCTCATGTGGACTGCAATCGCGCGAACACATACTGTGTAGGGATGAGCCGCTGTGCATTCCAGACGAACGCGAACAATCTCCCGCAGTTCACCATTCCTCCAAACAGAATGCTGATCTGTCAACTGCCATTTACGGCACTCTCGCAGATCAATATTATAGCTTCCAATGGCAGCGGTCATAATCGCATAATTGCAAATAGAACCCAATAAGATCGGCGAATCAAAGCCGCACCGCTTCAAGAACCATCTAACATGATAGTATAGTACAATTAGTGTACTCATTAGCACCAAATTGCGTCGAGGTCAACAAAAAGCTTCAGAAGCATCCATATATATTCATGACATAGCTGCTATCGACAGGCCTTAACAAGACAGCATCCACTATATCCCACAATAGTACGCCTTGGCAAGATATACAGTCACATCTCGCGCTCATCACCGTTTCCACAATCCCAAGGGGGCTGCAATCGATTCAGTTGATATGTTTCTGGGAATGAAATCTCAGAACAGCCTCTCGATCCTCCTCTCCACACGGTCTAAAAATCGGGATCCAGCAAGGCAACAGCAGCTCTCAGACAGCAGGCCATCTGCTATACCATCTGTCTTTCATAGTAAGTATGCCTTTCCCGCTTCACTGACATCTTAGCAATAAATGGTTCTCCTTCACTCCTAGAGCCAACCTTCGATATGTTCAATGGCTCAGCCCCCTCTTTATCTTGCCTAAAGGAGAAACGACAATACATGTTACCTTATACTGTAGTCTCAGAATGTACTATAGCCCAACTACAGCATATTCCGTTGATGTGGATGCACTTTCAAAATCAAGTTGCAATAATAACTGCACGATCACAGTACACGATCACCTTATGACTTAGAAATAATACTCAAGACGCTTCAATGGACATCTCGATCAGGGTTCGCTCTGCCGGTAAGCTACCAAGCTAGACTTGTATACATTGGAACAGGATCATGGCATCATCCGGGTTAATGAGGTAGGGGTGGCAATCCTAACTGGCTTGATTTAGTCTGATTTTGTGGCAGACAAATCGTGGTGATATACATTGTCATTGATCATGGGTATCACTTTTTGATTAGTAACTTAGTAGTACCGTTGGTGTGTTGGTGTGTTGGTGGCAGTTATATATTGTAATCATTGTTTGATGTTGGTACTAATCCAAGTCCCCTTAGCTGAGGCTCAAATATATACCACTGTTACTGTTGGAAGTAATTTTAGGAGCGTTAATTGCAAGTAACAATTGAGTTGTACTATGTGAGAACCAACAAAGTTTAACACAAACTTAAGTGTTCCTGTTCTAAAGATTAGTCCGGTCAATATCATATGCTGCGTAGATCTTCACCGCAAGCAACTTTCATGTCTCCTCCCGACGCACATCCTCGGCAACCGATAACGGCCTAAACAGCTCACCTCATCCCCGCACGCCGAACCGAACCGATAAGTGCATGCATGCTCCGTCTTTCCCTAGTTTCACTCTACATATATTCACTTTGAAAACACCATCTTGACGTCCACACCACATATTATATAGTATCTAGCTTAAAGATCTACTACAGCATGTCAAAAGCCATCTTTCTCAATCCCGTCGATGGTAAACCCGGAAAGCCGGGTCAAGTCTACTACCCCCTCGCTGTGAAGACCCTCCCCCAGCCTGTACCTCAAGGCCGCGAGGTTTTACTGAAGCTCACAGCTACATCGCTAAATCACCGCGATGTGTTCCTTCGTCAACACCTCTATCCGGGCGTCACCTTCGACGTTCCCATGGGTGCTGACGGTACAGGAACCGTGATAGCCGCCGGTGAAGGAGTGCGCGATCCGCAACGCTGGATCGGGAAGCGGGTGGTCATCAACCCCGGAGTAGGGTGGAAGGAGTCTCTGGATGGACCGGAAGATCCGAAAGGGTACAGGATCATGGGCGGGACGAAATCGTACAACAAGGGGACGATGCAGGAGTATCTCGCCATTGATGAAGAAGAGCTGGAAGAGGTGCCGGAGCATTTGTCGGATGCAGAGGCGGCGTCGTTTCCGCTTACTGGCTTGACAGCGTGGAGAGCGCTGGTGGTCAAGGCTGGAGAGAGGAATTCGAGCAAGGGAGCTGCAGTCCTGGTGACTGGGATTGGAGGTGGCGTGGCATTGATGGCGCTCAAGCTTGCGGTGGCTAGGGGCGTGGATGTCTATGTGACGAGCTCGAGTGAGGAGAAGATTCGGAAAGCAATTGAGCTGGGGGCCAAGGGAGGTGTTAATTACAAGCAGGAGAAGTGGGAGCAGAAGTTATTGGAGTTGTTGCCTACACGGAAAGTGGCTTTCGATGCGATTATTGACGGGGCTGGAGGGGATTCAGCGGACAAGGCTGTCAAGTTGCTTAAGGTGAGCAGACCTCTCCCCTCACTCGCTATCTGAGTACGTGTGAAATATCTGACTGGAATAGCCTGGTGGTGCTCTCTGTGTGTATGGTATGACGGTCGCACCCCAGATGCCCTTCTCTATGAAGGCTGTTCTCAAGAATATTGATGTTCGGGGCTGTACGATGGGCTCGCGGAAGGAGTTCAAGGAGATGGTCGAGTTCATCAAGACGCAAAAAATTCATCCAGTCATCTCACGCGTTTTGCAGACTGACCTGGAGGATATCCCTGCGATCGATGGAATCTTTGAGGATATGAAGGAAGGGAAGCAATTCGGGAAGCTGGTGATTGAGTTCGGGAAGACCTCTGGAAGCAAACTGTGATGCAGATATCATTATCAGACGTTAGCTTTCTTCTGTGACTGTGTTTATTATGAGGAACGCAATAGACACAATTAAGCGGTACTTGCCAGAGCAGCCTGAATGTGTAGTCGCACCTTCCCTGCGCTAGGTAATCCGTTTGCCTCCATGTCGCAACCCCTCAGAGTTGACTCCAAAGCCTCTGAGATTCATCACCACCACTCCCTAGCTTTCAGGCCACCAGCTCGTTTATCGTTTCATATCCAAGGATAGTTGAACCCTCATTGTTTGTTTAGATAGCGCATCATACTCGACTCGGCGAAATGGATGTCGATATTCTCACCCTATATGGACCTGGGATGTCCTTTTATCGGTCGCAGATTCAGTTGTCGTCTTCGAAAGAGAATGGTATAGTAGGAAAGGCGAAATTGTCCTCACTATCGGTGTGTCAGCTCCAGAACATTCACCAAACAGGCAGCTGGGTGTACATTGTGTCTGCGGCACCAATACTGATGTCTATTCAGAGATACTCCTCGGCTCTTGAGTCGTTGAATGTCAGCAATCAGAACCTGGACCATAAAATGAGCATGCTACGCTCCAATGTATTCCGACTCAAAACCGATTTGTCAAAGCTCCAGCGCCACGTTAGGGCGTTTCACAATGAGCTCTTGACCACATGGCAGGCTGACACGCTTACCCGGCTGGTTGAAGTTGTCTACGAGCGACAAAATTGGAAGTTACCAGGAGGGGTCGCTGTCGGTGATCACATCCATTTGAGCCGCGAGAGACAGTCACGCATCTTGGCCACTGCTGCGAGGAGGATCAGAAAGCCGATACTGAGAAAGAATTTTGGGCTCTCGGTGCAGTACTACTCGGCTCTACAGAGATACGACGAGGTGAGTGGTCAACCCGTCGGAATTTAGCAGAGACCCAGCTCAGATGTCAGCAGATTGTCCACTTGCGCAGTACGAACGCCTTTCGGACGGAATGCACATTTGCTCGAAGACTAGTTTCAGAAAAGGAGAATCACTGGGGCATGTATCGATTTTGGGGGGCACTGTTTCCTCTCTGCTATAGTCGGTCTGTGGAGGAGAGCGCCGAAATATTCTGATATTATTCCCGTGGGCGAACGAAAGAGATTTCTCATTTCAGGGACTGTCCTGCTTTCTGGTAGTCATCTCCGAATAGATAGCACTGAATGAAAGCTCGGTCAAGTCCCACAGGCTTGCAGCAGCCGTGGCGGGTTGAGTGAGACATGCTACCAAAACCGGGATGACCATCTGGTGTTGCTACCGATCCTATTTCTGGCAACGACCCATAAACAATCCAATCATTCCCTGGCTAGTTTTCAAAGCCATTGAATCCGCCGTCCCAGCACGAAAGACCCGGCTACGACTCTGACTGGCCATGTTTCTGGTATTTTCGACCAGCGGAGAGGACCTGCATAGGCTATGAGTTGGTTGGATAGCGTACGCCGTGCGGGATGCAGGATAGGCTTCGACCATGCAGCGCGAAGTCGGAAATTCCAGGATGAAGTCCACTAGACCGGATGTCACTACTCAAGCGCCACCCATTGCACGTTGTTAGCTCCCGGATCCGAAGAAACAGGGTTAAGGATGACCCTTCCCAGCTAGTATCTCACCGTTAGGCTGATAAGACACACACACACCTGCGTCACAATGCATGACCCTGACCTCTCCCCTCCATAACGGCGAAGCTGTACGTAGTAGATAGAATGAACGAGTGCTAGACACTTGTGTGCGAGCACAAATCACCGACTGACGTCGAAGGATGGACTGAGATCGGGTATGACTAGAAAGCCCAGCAAACAAAAACCTAACTAGCAAAAAGCGAAGATGACCGGATCAGCTGACTGACCGAGTCAGTGTCAGGTGGTAACTAGCGCAATAATGCTGGAATAGGGATTTTCTCTTCTCTTTCCCCCGCCCCTCCTTTCCTACAGGATGGGATGATCGGGCATGCTTCTGATTTTCTCGATTGGATACGGGTGCGGTGCTTCCTTTGGATCTTCCATCCCCCCCATCGATATCTCCATCTCCATCCTTTGGTTTGGTGATCATCGCTCGCTAGTGAGGGTTTCCTCCGGGTCTGAAAAGGAGAGGTACTCGATGGATAGGGTGGTCAATCTTTGGAGATTATTGTAGTTTCCTCGGGATCCGAGTGAATTACATCCCAGAAACTTTGTTCAGCTGGTAGTGGGGTGGATGTTGAATAGGGGGTTTGAGAATTATTGACTCTTTAGGATGGATGCAGTGCATATGCCTACTTACTAGTCTGCTACGTAGTAGTAGGGAGATATGGGTCTATGTCTATGGGGCTTGGTGATCCTGGTCCTAGGGGGGGAATACGTTGGATGGAGTATGGATGAGCTGCAGCAAGATTTACGGACTTAGTATGGGTATGTGGGATTTGGATATTCCACTTTTGTTGAGGTGTTCAGCTTGATGGTAAGTTCATGGTTGAGGAGAGTTCATTTACCGAATGGATAGCCCATGTCTCACTAAATAGCCTGAGTATTAAAGGCTATATACGATAGAGGCTGCGCTATGGGGTGAGAATAGCCGCCACTACTACCACTAAAGCATAACATGGGAACTAGGGATGCTCAACGAATTACCTGTAGACTGAAATGTGTAGTAGGGCATAGCCCAGAAATAATGAGATCTATGATCTGGAAGTATGATAATACTACTACGCAGTAACATTGCTGTACTAGCAATCTGCCTAGGATATATATCCTGAACTTGAACATGGAAATTCGACATATAAGATACTAGTACTTACTAAATTACTAATAGTACCAACATGCTTATCCCAAACGTAGTACACACGCACGAGGCAGTCAATCTACCTATCCAAACCTTACTCCCACCACCTTAAACCCAAACCTGTCAACTGGCTACCATCTCGCCCGTGCACTGCATCCGTCCCGGGACGACTGAGCCTCGTGTGACACAGACAGACAGCCACAACCACAACCACAACCAGACATACTTTGCAAAGCGACTAGTGAAGCAGCCCTGTCGGCACATCCTCCAGAAGAAGGTGATCCCGTAGTCCAGTGTGCGTGCACGAGCAAATCCCGGATACTCCGTACCCTATCCCATCTCATAACACAATAGTAACTCCGAATAACGGAGTGAATATGGAGAAGTACGTGGCGCAGATGTTTCAAGCTGAGGCATACGCCACTTTTTCTTTCTTCAATTAGCACATACTACCATCTAATGCTAGCTAGTTAGTAGGTGGGTGTTAACTGGTATAGACTAGTTTAGTACCTTGTCCCAAGGTTTGGTGGGTTTGGTATATACTCTGTATCAGACATAGCTACTACTAGGCAGGTACGGAGTATATCCATCTACTCCGTAGGAAACCATGCTATCCACCTACTACCCACTTGTACTTTGCAAAACATGCACATCACTACTCCTCCTGATAGACATCTAGTAGCCACATGGAAGTTCAGCTAGGTACTGGTATGTACGGAGAACGCCGTTGACGCTCTGTCCAAGTAAATCGGAGCCCAGTTCCACACTGCTCGTCCCGAGGTTTTGGGTTGCAGCAACTATTCTGGTCTGTACTCTATGATCAGAAGTAGAACTACCTCCGGTATTGCCTAGTAGGGTAGTAGGTAGTATTCATCAATCAGTAGACTACTGGTCTGCTTTTGCTAAGGAACCACTTTTAGGTTGAACTTGTTTCGGACCTATCCCGCATTTCACGAGCCCCTGATTTACTTTGTGATAGATGGATGGATGGAGGGTATTTACTGGTTGGAATTCGGGAGGGACGTAGCTCGGTAGGGCAGTGCACAGCCACACCGGGGCAACGGCTGTACTTTCTTAGTTTGGGGATTTTATGCTTGGAGGGGTTGAGGATAACGATCATAGTAGTATATGGTATTAACGGGAGATAGAGAAATTGATACATTGGAAATGTGTGGCTAATTGTTTGTTTGAAGCTAGGATGATAGGACGTGTGATGTGGTAATCACCAGATATATCCGACTAGATGTTTTCTCTACCTCTTTAGTTTGTGATAGACTAAATGAATCATGCACTGCCATGCAGTACCAAGTAAACCACCATACTATAGTAACTCTCCATACTCCCCCCAAATACCCACAAAAGCCAGTCAGTCTAAGTCAGTAGCACAGTAGTTAGTTACTTCGGTACCGACAGACTATAATAGCATATGCTTAAATTAGCATCAAGAACACAAAAATTAAACAAGAGCGAGAGTAGAAAAATGGAACCAAAAGCTAAGCAAGTGAGAAAATTAAAAATAAACATGAGAAAAGAAAAAAAAAAACTAGTAACTCAGACCGACACCCAAACCGAACCAACCAACCAGCCAACTAGAGTAGACCGTGACCTGACTACAGGTGAGACATACTACGGTTTGCAATTAGGGTTCGGGTTGCGCCTGGATGGGAAATGGATTGACGGGCGGGCTACCGCCACTTAGTTTAGTTTGGTTGTTCTTGTGTTGTGTTTTGTTGTGGGGGGAGCGCTTGGGTCGGCATTTCTTTTCTTTTACTTCTCACTACGTGCGCAGCTATCTAGCTCTAATTTTTTTTTCTGGGTTTATTTCTATTTTTTATCCTATATGAGACACAAGTACCGTGCTATTCTATGAGTAGAATGGGTTATCTTGGCTAAATGGGGGAAGGATAGAGTGCGGCTGGCTGAGGAGAAACAAACGAACAAATAGGCCAGGCCAAGCCTTGCTAACTAACTAACTTACTCCTAGTTGGCAAGTCAAGTAAGGTGACAAGTGAACTGACTAGTTAGGATTCATCTAGATGGATAGTTTAGTTAACCTAAGAGACTTTCTGACTTCTTGACTAAGCGGACATGTCTCCTCCCTGCTTGACTTGTCTACATGCTTAGCTAGCGCACGGCTCCATAAACTTGCGGATAAGGAATTAAGACAGGTGAAACTAGTGAGAAAAAAAAAATGAAGTAAAATTAAAATTAGATATATCTTACTTGATTTCTACGGTGTACTCCGTAGATACTAGTGTTCAGTTTGCTGTGTTTGTCTAGTGTGTAGATAACCATAACCAGCCACCATGATCACCATCCCGCTCATCCCCAACCAAAACGTGCCGATCAAAAGAAAAAAAAACCTTCTTACCGTCTATCTGTCCGTCCGCTCCGGGTGGGCCGGACTCTACTTACTTGCTGCGTATGCACGGCGCGTGCAGTTTAAGACCTGTTATTGCATGCAAAATTTGACGTCCCTCGTTCTGTGCTACCTTTCTTCCTGTCTGCAGCTCCTAACTTCCCATATGGCGTATCCCGTGCAGCTGGAAATGAGTATGGATAAGGAAAGAAATTATCCGGGTGGTTCTGGTGGGTATGCCAGCATTCAACACAGTACTTGCTGGCGCATTTAATTTCCGATATCAGGGTTTGTGGAATAACCCTAGCATCAATTTGAGGGTTTTTATTCTCTGATTCAAGGGGTAATGGGCGGATGGATGGTTGATAGCCATGTCCAAGTAAGGGTGTAAACTCTCAAATGATGTACCTGGATCGGTCTACGTCAAGTCATGACTTCCGGGTAGATTGATTATCGACACAGAGAAAGACCAAGGTTTAGACTAGACGGGAGGATGCAAGGACGATCCAATCCAAGTCTGTCTCTTGCAGATGAAAATTAAACTTCATGCGTCTCTGCTTGGTGCCTCGTGAGAGGGTGGCAGGTTGTGTGTGTGTTCCTTCGGGGCTCCGTGCTGGGTCTTGAGATCCTGTGATGACAGTGGTGTGCTGTGTATGGAGCATCATCCACTAGGCAATTAACAATGACGGCATGCTGGCCGTTAGATTGGCAGCATAACATATAACAGGGATAACTAAGGCGCGACTAGAATCAACTAGAGCACGTTTAATCTGACTGCTGTGAGAAAGCGTAGACTGCCATTTGTCGTGGTGCCGGGTGGGTGCCAAGAGCCGGCCGGGAATTGGACGCCTTCCAGCTATTCATCACTTTAGCTGACACGCCGAGCCGGGGTTGATTGCCCACCGCAATTAAAAGACCCTGAATGCTTAATTGCGGTTCTTGTGCTTCGGCTGCTTGGGGACTCGGGTGCTGCTAAATGTGACAGATGCACTTGTCTTGGTCACAGTGGTCGATACCACTTTCCTTTCTTTGCTCGAAAGGAACGAGCATCATCACTTGCCCATCGTATGATCGATGATCACCGCAAAGTCGTAAATAGTAGCTGGTCTAAAAAAATATTCCATCCCACAGAGTGACGACGTTCCGAAACCGAAAATACGGAGTAGATACGACAACCAGTCAACCACGCTTCCTCGGTAGGGAGCAAATTCCCACGCGCTGGGACCCATGGATCCATCGCTGCTAAGCGTTCCACTTCCATCATGCTTCCGGAAGATTCACCTCCTTGTTGACCGGCCGCCGGTTGGTTCCTTGGGTTGAGGTTCGGAGCCGCTAGGATTGACTGGCTCGCACTAGACGGAGTCGATGGGGGAAAGTGGAGCTTCGTAGGATTTCTCCGGTTGACCCCGGTGATGTTCCGGTGGTGGTGGATTTCACCATTGAATGATTTCCGGAGTCCAGGGCTCAATTATGAACCGTGACTGAATAATGATTGTTAATGATAATCCTCAGGCGGAGGATGCCGCCGGTGTACTCTGTAGATAGCTGTTGCACTGCCCGAGATTTCCACATTCTTCGCAATTTTGAAACAGATTTTCGGATGCAAAGGTTGACGATCATACTCCTCACGCACAGAGAATCCTTCCTTTAGCACACATGCAATAATATCTACTCGGCGATTCCTGCTGCCCATCAACGGCACAATTCACTACACCGGCCGAATACCATGCCCACTCAAGGGACGGCTAGCGCGCAGCCGGGGTTGGCATGGTCAGTGGACTAACAGCCCCGATGGACTGCGGGATTTTCCATACCTTGATCGACTGGGTTAGCCTGAAGTTTGAACGATGAAGGGCACAGAAACTCTGCCATCCTTTCAAGCGATTCTCGGCAGTAGCCAATTTGTTTTGTCCTTTGAGGTTGTGGTCCGTCCGCTTGTTGAAACTTTGGCCGGTCACTCGGTCGGGCGCGGGCGCATTTCCCCGAGCATTGGCCGACCTCTGTCCTAGTGTCCTTTTGCCCTGTAGCAAAAGCATTCAGGAATGCCGAGCCTTCCTCCGACGTCTAAGGCAGTTGATACAAAGTACCTACCATTTCGGAAAGCTTCGTAGAATTGCTGGAGTAGATTCGGAGGTCAACATGCAAGACACTGTAAATTGGCTTGGCTTCGGGTTAATTGAAGAAGGTTTGTAGTAACAGATAGCTCATATGCCGGTGTTTGGGATATATATTTATTCATATAGACGTTATGAAATGAGTAGTACTGTTAGTTTGCACTCATGTTTTCGTTTGACAGTCACAGGGGTAGTATTGCCTGCCTCACCTCGACCCCATGCAAACGCATGTCAGGTTGAGGGACCAAACCATCCCTCGTGGCAATGAAACCATGGTCCTTCAGACCACTTTTCCCTTTTCTTTCTCGAACATGAGCTCAAGCAAACCACTTTGGTCGCCCATCCCATTCAGGGACAAGCCATGCGCACTATTGTGGACAAGGACTGCTGATCATCCCTGTATGTAGCTTAGGGGACGAATCATCTCCATGGGGCTAATCATGCTATCTTTGTAGGGGCCCACAGCTTCCCTTTGGCATATCTGGATAGGAGCCAGTAAATAGTCTCAATGCCTGCTGAGAATCTTTCTCGCCCGCAATTGCAAGGTGACTAAGGTAGGTACGAATACACTAGTTGCTGTAAGATGGCGAGCGCGCGTGCTTCTCAACGTGCTTCGAACGATGATCCGCCAAGTTACTGCCTTTGGGTCGATCTATACGACGAACTTTATTCGGCATCGGTTAATTTCTTGAGATTGAAGCGACTCCTGGACTGAGAGGCATGTCGTCACATCGCATAAGATGAATTATGACGACTAACGGCTGTCCGATAGTATTGTATGTGACGGACAGTGCCAGTACCTACAGTGACCACCGCTACACGGTACATTTAGAGAGTACTTTTAGTCGAGCAACCGGCGCAAAGCCCAACAACATCCATGACTCGGAATTCGGAATGACACAATTGACAGTGTCTTCGGGAGCCAATCAGTTCTGGCAGTCGTCCCGAAGCCCTGAAGACCATTGAGAGTATTCACGGCAAGTATGATCTAAGTTTGAGACCTATTTCTTACCAAACGTGGAGTACGGAGGACCTCCGCAACAAGACCCAGGGAGACTGAGCCACGATGTGCTGTCCACAACAGAATAAGATCGACAACGCTCGGCTTTTTCGATAACATGACCTCATGGGAAACTAGTGCACAGCTTGCCCAGGCTTGTTTCCTCTTGACTCCCGTCGATCTGAGTATAGCGTTAATGACTTGACCACCGTGGAACACCGCCATGACCTCATCTTCGGTCCGGGACCGTCAGCATGATCACATTGGGCGGCCTTACGACGATTAGATCCTAAGCAATAGGCTGTACCCAAGCGTTGGTCCGTGGTTGGGGGGTGCTACGGCGAGTTTGATTAAACATCAATAGTTCCATCCCTGTTTTCGAGAAAGGGCAAGCAACCAGGATAAGCAGTTTCCAGCTGAACGCCCGAGGCCACGATGACGGCCGGGATGATCAGCTCATGGCGGTTGGCCAGGTCTCAGCAGCTCAGCCGCGAGAAGCGTCCACTGACGGCTCACAGTGTGGTAACAATGCAGGGTCGCTCTGCTGCAAGTGGAGGTGGTAGCAAAGGTAGTACTACCATGCTGCTACCTTACCACCACCAGGGGAATAGCCTTTCGGTGCTTCCCATCGTGCCACTCACCGGACTTAATTGTGAGCGAATCAAGTGCCGACATTATTTTAGACGGAGGATTTTTGGAGGAAGAAGCGGAACCTTTTTTTCTTCTTCCTTTTCTTCTTTCTTTTTATGCGCTAAACCCAAAGGAAAGTGAAATCGAGTGGCAGTGGAGGGGAGGGGATCCACACCGCCCTCTTCTGGCACCAATGAGACGGCCATGTCCGACCCTTGCATGACTTCTTCCAGTGGGAGCCAATGCAAGGTTTGCTATGTTTAGCATCTTAGAAGTACCGCTTCCCTCAGATAAATCGGCCGCTAGATAGCTATTTCACGGTGGTATGTCCGCGTTCGAGGATCCCACGATCCCACTGGCTGTCGACAAGAGTGCAAAATAGTGTGTTATCTTCTGTGCATGTACCTTGCTGTGCATTTAACTCACACCTTGCTTGATCGTTAACCGCTTCAACCGAGTTGACTAAATATCTGTTGGAAGGCAAACCATCCGCCTTGCCTACCAAAGAGAACAAAAGCCGAAAGGCTGGGAATTCAGACGCCGTTGAAAGTGGATGATCTCGGTAGTAGACAAAACTAGTAAAGCACAGTTGAACCAAAGGTCAGCCGCTGCGCTGCCACAATGTGGAGAGATGGAGGAAGGAAGGCACGGAACAACGGAATCGTTGGCTGTGACTGGCTCTGGAAGTGTCCCCTGCACGCTCGGGCGGGCTCGCAGTTGGCCTGACACCATTTCGTATGACTTACTAGTACTTACTTACTTGCTCTTGCTTCTCCGACTGATCAAACATGTGGAAGAAGACACACGACGGTACTCCCGTAGACCAATCAGCAATTAAGTTTTCCAGAAATCTTGGCGAACCATGCGAGAGTCTGATGTTTGAGATTTGATGTCATGAGATGATGGTAGCGTATGGAGTAATAAACGATTTCGCTATGAATACAGTGAGTCTACTTACTACGTACTGTCTACTACTAACTACAACAAAGTACTGAGCAGCCGGAAGTCAAGGAGTACACGCCGAGCCGTGGGCGGGGAAAGTAGAAGGGGAGGAAGGCTTGTTCTTGAGGCCAGTGCAGGGTTGAGAGAGGAAAGATTGAGTGCCAAGTTAGCTAAGCAGGTCCAACACGCATAAAAGAGATAAAGAAATAGATACTGTGAAGTTACTTAAGACATAACTTTGATACTCAACGACGTACGGAAAGATAGGACATAGTAGTCTTCTTCGGAACATCGGTCAGAAGTTGGACCCGATCACTGGAACTGCGAGGCTGAATCAGGCTTTATCTCCAGACCCAGAACGGAGCATTCCCAAACGGGATATTGATGGAGGGGGCAGCCAATAAACTAAAACGGTCTACTCTCGGCGGGTCACTGCTGCCTGAGGGCTCCAAATTAAGAAATTCCCAATTAGGCAAAGGTTCCTTGAGTTGGCACTGAATGTGCTCAACATTACTTCCTATTCGGGAAAGGGGGCAGGGGTGGGGGACCTTGCGAGAGCTAATAATATGTCACGAACTCACGATCGCTCCGATTCCTCTCTGCTTCCTCTTTACTCAATTGGTTTGCTTACCTCGGTAGACAGCTTCGATCGTACTAAGAACTTCCGCTACTTAAGTATTATCTCATCAAGAGGACTCCGCGGATCACGAAGGGTCCTCTTGCTAGGTCGGTTTTTCTCAATTTTGATTGGAAGGACTGCCAGTGGGAGTTACTTTCTATCCTTTGATTCCGGTTGTCAACTCTTTCGAGAAGGTGAGCCGGCTGGCCTAAGTCTTGAGATACCAAAGGTTTTTGATAGGCCTGGGAAAAATGAAAAAAAAGAAAAACCATGTCATAGGAGGGACTAGACAGTAGGAGTAGTAATGGTACTAGTCATGAGGACGAGAGGTCGAGTGATGATGCATGAAACGGGGCAAAGTAATATGGAAAAACGCAGAAAACGGTAACAACAACGAGGACATGACTGTGACGGTTAAAGTTTGCTACTGCTAGCACAATATCTTACTTACTGAGTTAGCACAGAACTAAACGACTACTACTAGCATCTAAGTTGACCCTTTTACTGGATACAGAAGACCGTGACAGGGCAGCTCATCCTGCCAGATGTACGAGGTTGTTTAGCCCAAACTTTCTGCGGAACAGTTATGATGGTAGGCTGGGTGGCTGCCCGGGGGGATCCAGTTTTATTCTTAGGCCCCGTATCAGCCAGTGTATCAGGGCTTCCCGAAAGGCCAAGGAAATAACGGAAAAGGGTGAACATCGCCCCCTTCCCCCACCAACGAGGATCTCAGGAAGAATGGAAAATGACTGGAAAAACATGGTACAGTCGCCGCAGGTCATACTTTGCAGAGTAGATGGAGACCATCTGTTTACCAATTTGAATCCCATAGGGCCGGGAGAATCTCCAGTAGAACCAAAGTTACTACGGAGGTAAGAATAACGGAAACCAGAAACCAGTTCTCTTTTTTGCCTCTTTCCCACCCCTCCTCTCCTCTCTCTCCTCCTCCTTCCACTGGCTTCTGCAGCCCTGATCTTTTTCCCTTGGGGGGGGGGGATCCACCGGTCAAGGCGGCATGGACCGCTTGAACGGTGCCTGCTGCTATTCTTTGCTAACACCCTTGCTAGCCAGTTTAGCGCCTCTTCCCTGGATTTATTTGGGGGAGGGAGTTGGATGATTATTCACCCAATACCCAATGGTGGGATTCCTCTCACCAAATAAGAATCTCCTCTTCCGAGAATAAAAATAATCATAACGTTGCTTACTTTCTTGGGCTTCATGACCTTTTAGCCCTGAAGCTAACTAAACCTATCTGGACTAAGAACTTCCCTACTCTCTCCACTTAGGATTTCCCCTCTTAGTGAAGGGCCGCTTTCCTAGCAAAGACGGAGGGTAGCAAAAAAGGAATAAATGAAATTAAAAAATTTAGAAATAAAAAAAAAAATTGAACTAGACTAAAGAAAATAGAGTGAAGGGTCAACGAGCAAGAAAAAAAAAGATTTTTTTTTTTTGAAAAAAAGAACCCTTTTATTTTTGAATTTTTGATTTTTCCCTCCCTCTACCCTTAGAGAGCGGGGATTGTCTTCTTACGGCCTTCCCATCCTTCCCATCCTTGAAGCTTTCCCCGTGACCCGATCCGATGCTGAGTGGTTCCTGGTCAAAGGAGGATCGGAAAGTTCGTAAAAGAAACCCATCTCAAAGGGTTATGGGACGGTACTAAGGTCTCCATGGGACTGGTAGTCTAGCGGTAGAGATGTGGAGGACCACCACCAGCCCAGGGACTTTTACGATGGAGAAAAAAGATCCAGTTAGGCCAACCAGCCATTTTGGTCTGGTCTTCAGATTTCAGGGTGTTATGATTCCCCGAACAACCTCAGGTATAATTATAACAACACACACTCACGCGAGAGAGGAAAAGACGCCGTTTGATCTCCCTCGGTGACGGAGTTCCCTTAAAGAAAGATTGTTATTATTATCATTATTCTTCTTCAATCCTCTTATCCTCATTACTATTATCAATCGTCATTTATTTATATCATTCCGGGATCCATTAACCTCGAGGGATCAAATTGAATTGTTTTCCAACAATACCCCCGGCCCTGCAAACCTGATCCCTACTACTTCCTACTTATCTAACTGTTTTCCCTTTCCATCCTCCCACCAGCACATCCCCGCCACACTAAGGCTATTGTCGCCCAGTGCTCTTTCGTTTCTTACCACCGCACCTTCGGCTCAAAGCGGATTGCTTTGAAGGGAAAAGTAATATATCTCTCGTCATCTCGTACTTGACGGTCACTCTTGTTCTTTTTTTATTCCATCCACTATTATTGCTCCTCCTCCTTCTACTACTACTACTACTTCTCTTCTCTTCTTCCCCCCCCTCCTTCCCTCCTCCTCTCCCCACCTTTTCCCCTTTCACTTTTTCTGTGATGGCACATTGAAAGTATCCCTTGTATTTCTCTTTTTTTATTATTAACACTTCCACTCGCTCGTCCCACGTTCGCCTTACACTCGCTTTGTTTGGTATCGGAAGTATCATTACGTTCGCTACGTTTGTGTTGATCAACGAAGAAGGAAAGAAATAAGAGGAGGACCGAATTGAGAAAAAAAAAATTATTGACGAAGGAGAGAAGCATTTATTGGCAAGCCGCATTGGGAACTGATCGGACTTATTGGATATCCTAATATCTAATCCTCACGGACTCTACGCGCTCGCTGATTGTTCGACAACCGTCGCTATATCTCTGTTTAATTGCCTCGAAGCTTGGCTCCGTGTCCATCCGACCAGAAGGGGGAGAATATTTTTTATTTCTATTATTTTCGACAATAGTGTCTTAATATTTCCGAAGCAACCAAAAATCCGCAGGAAAGCCGCTGATTGACTGGACGCCATCTACTTTCCGTGTCGTGTGGTCTCCTCCCCAGCTGTTCGTTTGCCTGGTCCCTTATACGCCGGATCTATAGAGCGATCTCCGTTTGTTGAGCGGAAGGACGATCATCGAACCAACCCCCCCGTCTCTCGTCACGCCGAACAGCCCTCCGGATTTCAGCGAAATCACCTTTGATTGCAGTGTCCGCATTCGCTCATCTGTCTCAATTTTACCCTCCGAAGAGAAAAAAAGAGTGTGGATCGTCAGCTAGCCTTCTTGCCAACCTTGTCTCTGTAGTCCTTCACACGAGGTCGGACCTGGACTCAAACCATCGTGGATCTTTGTCTCGGCTGAGGACACCACTTTATTGCAAACTAGCAGGGAAATATCTCGAATAGGCTGCGTTTACTGACGAAGCCTCTCCCTGTGCTGAAGTCATTGGTCTGTTAAGGTTGGTGCCAACCCCCCCCTCACCCTTTGCCACAGACTCTGTTGGTGCCTTGCATCACTCTCCTTCGTGTCCCCTTCCCTCTGTACTCCTTGCTTCTCCAAGGTCGTGCCTTTGCCGCACAAGATCCCAAGGAAAATTAGGGTCCACGATGGGTTCCGTGCGCTTGTCACCTCCCCTTGTATGGTTTCCGTCACTAAACTTCCGGATGTTTGTTGTTAACCCGCCCCCGTCAAGGTGTAGACTATCTCGTTTAGTCGCTTAGGGACCGTGACTTCTTTTGCATATTAGATTTCAAAAGACCTCAGAGACGCATCTCTTGTCTTTTCATCTCACCTGGTAAGTCTTGCTGGTCTATGCAGCGAGCCGGTTCCTCGCCTTTTGGGAGGGTTCGTACTCACTAGCTGGGTAGTTCGTGCCCTGACTTTTAGTCCTCATCCTGAGGAAATCTTGAGACACTTTCGCTTCCACCAACGCCAGAAAAGCGAAAAGGGTCTTCTTTTCAGTTCGACCGGCTCGTTCTCGCTCGCTTTCGTCCAGAGTCTGCCACGGACATTTGCCATTCAACCTGCCCGCCGCGTGAGGTTAAAACAGCGCCATCAGATGGAAGCAGGTTTCCTATAGGTTATCAAAAGCATTCATCAGCAGCGTGGCTCACCACTGGTTCCTATTCTGCAGCCAACCTTTCGTGGTTTCACCCTGAGGCGTCGGATCCTGATCGCTGATTCGAAGCTTTTCGTGCCATCTTCCTCGTCCGGGCTGACAGCCACTTCGTGTCGTCATTCGTTTTGTCTCGGAGAGCTCGCTAGAGACTTTCCGGCATCCTATCGTTTTTCCAGGATAAATTCGCTGTCATTCGCTTTTTTAAGCTGTTGTGCTTGGTTGCAGTTTCTGCAACACCTTCAAACTGGCTTACTCGAAGACGCACGGTGTTTTGGTGAGTCCGGTTTTCCTGCTCGCTGCCCAATTGCTTTTCGGTTCACTCCCATTTTTCTCTTGCTTTCGACTGAATCAGAATATTTGATTCATCCACTGTCTTGCCGAGTGCCCCAGCCTTGTTTTTCCTGCAGTCACACCCACCACCTCCCACCCCTTGGACACTGAACTGACCCGGGGGCGTTTTACAGTTCAATCCCGAGTTACAAACACCGTTAATTCTAGACGAGTCATTGGATTTTTCGGATCCTGAAGAGTCACAGTTTCTCGGTGCTTTTTCAGACGGCCTTCTGGCCAAGTCTGAGCCCATTTTGTCTATGTCTACTTTCCAGAAGCCCCCGCACACGGCGTTGATCGGTAAGCACTGATACATCCACTCCTCCCACCCCCCCCTCCTTCTTCCCCCTCGTGGACATGGCATGGCTGGTCCAGGGTTCCCTAGGGAACACACACCGCGTTTGAACTTTGTGAGACACTGACACTAACTCAACCTGATTAGACTACGACTCTGCTCGATCTCTGCATGATGGCATTCCGTACCAAGGCTATGGCCAGGCACCTTATGTGACGGCCACCACGCTGGTTCCTTCCCCCATGCCCGATCACGCAAGCCAGATATCGGACTGTGTGCCCTACATGGCGAACGGAGAGTATGCGAGTTCCTACGAAGAGGGTCGTTCACCAATGATGGCCGCCGAAAATCGCCAAATACCGGAAGTAGTCTCCTACTCCCCCCAGAGAGGCTCCGAAGGCACCAGGGTCTTCGTCCAGATTCAATTGCCATATGACCTCCACTCATCGTCCTATGCGACTCTTTACCTGGTCTTCGGCTCGAAAAAGTGCGAATGTGTTCCTCACTTCCTCGGCTTCCAGGGTGCTTCGTTTCAATATGCACTTTCCGTCGACACACCTCCTTTCAGCTCCACGGGCTCTCCGTCGTTCGCAGTTCCCTTGCAAGTGTCCATGGACCATAATGACTGCCATGCAGTCACGCTACAAGTGGGAGTTTATACCTATGAACATGCTTCGATGCAGTCGCCTTCCGACGAGTCTCGCAAGCGGAGGGTGCCTTCATACGCGGACGAACCCCTCTCCAGGGCACCCAAGCGAGTCACCGGCCCACCAATGCATGCAAAGGAATCGCCCAGCGTATCCTCCGCGACCTATTCACCGTATCTGCAGTCTCTGCCGGCAATGAATAGCTTCGTCAGCCCACACCACACGGCGGCATCGCCGCGAGTTCCTTCGACCCAGTATCCTGGCCTATCTAACACGTCTCAAGCGTCTATCCGGGCGCCATCACCTATCACTCCATCATACAGCCCGTCGTTCCTCGCGGTCAGCAACGATGCACGAAGCACTACTTACACTATCGGCCATCCTCTGCGTCAGCAAAGCCAAGCATCACCAGGCAGGTTCGGAAATCCCACCCTCATTCGGACGTCGACGTTGCAACAGTCGGGCGCATATGGCCAAACGCAGTCGTTCAATCCCTATGCCATGTGCCCGACGAAGGCAGTGTTGAAGTTGAATGGTGATCTCGATTCAATGACGGAAAGCTGGTCCAGAGAAGAGCGGGAGGCAAAGCGTCGGTTGGTTCAATTTACACGGATGCAGAGTGGCAGCACAATCCACGCAGACTTCAAGCCTGTGGCGCCTGAAGACCGTGCTCCTAATAGTATCTGCATCAGTTGCATCTACTGGGATGGGAAGGACGAATGCTTTGTTACCAGCGTTGACACCATCTACTTGCTCGAGTCCTTGGTGGGAGTCCGGTTCACGGTGGAAGAGAAGAACCGCATCCGCAGAAACTTGGAAGGCTTCCGACCACTTACAGTGTCCAAGGCCAAGGCTGATAGTGAGGACTTTTTCAAAGTCATCATGGGGTTTCCCGCACCAAAGCCCAGGAATATCGAGAAGGACGTGAAGGTCTTCCCCTGGAAGATCCTCAGCCATGCCCTCAAGAAGATAATCGGTAAATACGTAAGTGACTCGTTCATTTCATAGCCATCCCGAACAAGGCTAACCGTTGGCGATCTAGTCTGCTAGTTACTCTTCGATTTCTGGAACCCTGGCCACCCCGATTGGATCGAACTACACCAGCAACGGCGCTGCCTCTGACTCTGGCACTGAGCCTCAGAATGCAGCGTCGCCTCAGTCCGTGTCAGATACTGCTGCCCCAGCCAACTACGGAGCCAGCCTAGCTGCTTCGACATATACACCCCCTTCTATGACGGGCGGCTCGGAACTGCGAGGCGGACTGGCTAGTGTCAATCAGCCCTATTCTTCCGCCTTGGCTACGCCCTACTCGTACCCTTCTGTCTGTCAGCAGCCGAGCCAACTTGGACTCACAGCCACTGTGAACAGCAGAACTTGGGAGCTGAATCCTCTTCTCAACTCTGCCGCAGCCACTGGAAACCCCAGCAGCAGCGCGTGCTACAACTACCTTGCTCCCATGCCGTATTCCGTGCATGGCCAGGCCCACGGGTCTTGAATCACCCGCGTTTCGGTTCCTCTTTGGTAATCTGCATCAACTGGCGTTTGGCTTTTCCGCTTTATTGCGTTGTGTTTCTTGCATACCTCATTGATACCTCTTTGATTATCGTCACTCCTTTGCCATGAGACTTGGGCGCTGAGCCCTGTGGGATCTTCTCGCACAGGATAGTTCAGTCCCGGGGCTCCTGGACTTTGCCACTTATTCTTTTTTTATGATCACTGTGAATGATCTTATGTCTCTCCTTATACTATTACCCTTCTTCATGCCTTGATGCCCGATATCCTTTTTTGCTTTGATGCATTATAGACGAACTGTTCCCGTTCTTCACCATTCAAACCATATTTTCTTCTTCCTTTTTTTTTCTTGGGTTAATGTTGCATTTTCATATGGGCATGAGGCTTTCACTCCTTTACGAAGCTGTACAACTATCTGGCATAGCATGGCGCTGCCGTCGTTCCTTCTAGGTTGCAGGTTTGGGATAACACTTGGGATTGATGTACCAGACATCTGGATTGGCGAAGGATCAAAAGTGTGAAATGGGATTTGGGATCAGATTTGTGCACCTTGAGTTATTGTGTTGTTGTTATCACTGTTGTCGTCCGCTGCTGGGTTCCTCTGCTCCTATCTCCGTCATTGTGCGTCTCTTGGAGGAGATGGTCCCTGGTATATTCACAGGACCCTGTTGCCACCAGTTTTTGGTGACCGGTCTTGTTGGGGCGAATCTATATATGCATAGCTTGCGGCGTCTGTGAATAATCCTGTTTATTTCTTACTTCTTCTGACTTGTTTTTCTTTCCCTTTGACATTTGGAGGAGGCAGAGTGCACAACTACATAAGTAATCTAATAATCGATCCCCAATCCAGAAATCAGACGCAATTCCGTAAATCCGACATTTTCATACCCAGCGGTACCTGTTCGTAATTTTTCATTTTTATCTTATCGCCACCATCACCTGACCGGGGCGGGGAAAATACCAGCCAGCCGTCACTCACCGTAATTACTCAGTAATCGCGGTGACTCAAACCCACTTTCTTCCGCTCCTCCTCCTTCTCGACTCTCTCTTCCCTCCCCCAGCTTTTCCCTCCACGTCCTTATCCAATTGACCGTTTTTGGTCTCTTTTTCTTTCTTCTCGTCCCTTACCTTGCTTCGATCTCCCTTTTCCTCCGCTACTCCTTCCCCCGTTCCTTACTCTTTCACCACCACTCGCCGGGTGTCACCCCCACCTCCCGCCACCATGGACGGAATCAAGAATGCATTTGCCAGAGCCAAGCAGGAGAAGCGCGCCGCTCTGGTCGCCTACTTCACTGCAGGATATCCCACTGTTGAGGAGACCGTAGATGTTCTGATGGGCTTGGAAAATGGTGGTGCTGGTATGTTGTCGACCCCGCCTTTTGCAACATTTCAAATATGGAGGGGAACTAATCGATTTCGGTGATCTGCAACAGACATTATCGAAATGGGTGTCCCTTTCACCGACCCTATCGCAGATGGACCTACTATCCAGAAGGCCAACACCCAGGCTTTGGCCAATGGTGTGACAATCCCCCTTGTCCTGGACCAGGTCCGCACCGCCAGAAGCCGCGGTCTGAGAGCACCCGTTCTTCTGATGGGCTACTACAACCCTCTGATGCAGTATGGTGAGGAGCTCATGCTCCAACACTGCAAGGACGCCGGTGTCAATGGTTTCATCATGGTCGATCTGCCCCCGGAGGAGGCTGTTCGCTTCAGAGATCTTTGCGCCAGCGCCGGGTATGTTTCGACTGCATCGTGTGCGCAAATTTGGGTAGCTGATCTAACATTTTCTGCAGTCTCTCTTACGTCCCCCTCATCGCCCCCGCCACCTCCGAGTCACGCATGAAGCTTCTCTGCAAGATCGCCGATTCCTTTATCTACGTCGTTTCCAGAATGGGTGTCACCGGTGCTACCGGAAAGCTCAGCTCGAACTTGCCCGATCTCTTGTCTCGCGTTCACACCTGGTCCGGAAACGTGCCTACGGCGCTGGGATTCGGTGTTAGCACCCGCGAGCACTTCCTGTCCGTGCAGAACATCTCCGAGGGTGTCGTTATTGGTAGCCAGATCATCACCGTCTTGGGTGACGCCCCTGCCGGTCAGGCGGCTAAGCATGCCCAGGACTACCTCTCCAGCGTGACCGGTCGTCGCCTTGAGAGAGATGCTCAGGGCAAGGTGACTGGCTCCGTCAACGTGCTTGACCCCGTCCTGAAGGAGGCTCCCCCTGCCCTCTCTCAGCCCACCGATGTCATTACCAACGACGACACCCCGGCTGGTCCGGGCCTGGTCGACCAGATTGAAGCTCTGAACGGCTCTGGTGACCCTGCTCTCATTCCCTCCCGTTTCGGTGAGTTCGGTGGCCAGTACGTGCCCGAGTCCCTCATGGACTGCTTGGCCGAACTCGAGCGTGGCTTCGATCAGGCGCGCAACGACCCTAAGTTCTGGGAGGAATACCGCTCCTACTACCCCTACATGGGCCGCCCCAGCAGCCTCCATCTCGCTGACCGCTTGACGGAGCATGTCGGTGGTGCCAACATCTGGTTGAAGCGTGAGGATCTTAACCACACCGGAAGTCACAAGATCAACAATGCTCTCGGTCAGATCCTGCTTGCCCGCCGTCTGGGCAAGAAGAGAATTATTGCCGAGACTGGTGCTGGCCAGCACGGTGTCGCCACGGCCACCGTCTGTGCCAAGTTCGGCATGGAGTGTGTCGTGTACATGGGTGCCGAGGATGTTCGTCGCCAGGCCCTCAACGTCTTCCGTATGAGACTTCTGGGTGCTTCCGTCGTTGCCGTCGACGCCGGCAGCCGCACTCTTCGTGATGCTGTCAACGAGGCTCTCCGCGCCTGGGTTGTCCACCTCGACACCACCCACTACATCATCGGTTCCGCCATCGGCCCTCACCCCTTCCCGACCATCGTGCGTACCTTCCAGTCTGTCATCGGTGATGAAACCAAGGAACAGATGAAGGCACTCATCGGCAAGCTGCCCGATGCTGTCGTCGCCTGCGTTGGTGGTGGCAGTAACGCCGTGGGTATGTTCTACCCCTTCTCGAACGACCCCAGCGTCAAGCTCCTGGGTGTCGAAGCCGGTGGTGACGGTGTTGACACCGACCGCCACTCCGCCACCCTCTCCGGCGGCAGCAAGGGTGTCTTCCACGGTGTCCGCACCTACGTCCTCCAGGACAAGCACGGTCAGATCTCCGAAACCCACTCCATCTCCGCCGGTCTTGACTACCCCGGTGTCGGCCCCGAGCTATCCAACTGGAAGGACAGCGACCGCGCCAAGTTCATTGCCGCCACCGACGCCGAAGCCCTCACTGGCTTCCGTGCCCTCGCTCAAACCGAGGGTATCATCCCCGCTCTGGAGTCCTCCCACGCCGTCTTCGGCGCCATGGAGCTCGCCAAGTCCATGAAGACCGGCGATATCGTCCTTAACCTCAGTGGAAGAGGTGACAAGGATGTCCAGAGCGTGGCTGATGAGCTGCCTCGTCTGGGTCCTAAGATCGGCTGGGACCTGCGCTTCTAAATCACCACCCTTCCTTCCTCCTCATCCTTCGTCCTCCATCATACCTCTTGACATCTACTACCACCTTCTACTTTCCTCCTTTTCATTTAAATTCCTGTAGATTTTTCCGTTTAGACTCTCTACAACTCCCTTGCATTTCCCCCCTAACGATATCAGAGCGATGAAGGAATCCTGCACCCAAGAAAGTGACAAGCCAAAACAAAAGGAAAAGAAGGAAAGAGGAAAAAGTCTTTTCGGTCTCAAGTTTGATCGTTTTTCATCCTTATCTATGAACTACTACCCACTTCTACTCGTGACCCGAGTTGGGATTTTTCGGTTTTGATCATTTTCGGTTTATCCTTTTTGGCTTGTTCTAGAGAGAGAGAGTTTTAGTACATATACCAGTATCGAATGCCATTGGGGTTCTTCTTCAATTCATGTATGGTAATTTGGCTTTTAGGGTAGATTATTTGTTACGATGTATCAAGTTATTTACTACGGCACGGTATTTGAAACCAAGTGTAAACAAAGTCATAGATGGATAGATAGTATAGATAAGGTATCAATGCTGTCTGTGTGTGTGTGTGTGTGTGTGTGTGTGTGTGTGTGTGTGCATGCGTGTGTGCATAGTTATCTTCATCGTGTCATGTCATGTCATGTCAATAAAAAAGCAGGCAAACTCCGCGAAGTCAAGTCAAGTCATTACTACATACACCTCATCAATCGTCAATCTCCCAAATGTAATTTGTATGCTGCGCTCCCATCTCGTCCATCAGCCACTGCCTCCGCCTAATCGACTGCGTACCCACCCCGTAAACCCTCCGGACCCCTCTCCTCGACTACTCCGACGTTGCTGTTGTTGTTCTGGGCCCTCTGAGCCCGACCATGGTGATGACCATGAGGAGAATGACTGCGAGCTCCAACCCGATGGTGATGCAGCGTCTCGCGCTGCTGATGGTTGGGTCCGTTCGCGCTCCGGACTGTCGGGGATAACTACTGGGTTGCCGCTTGTGCCCTCTGCTGCCGGTCTGTTTCCGGGAGGACTGTTGGCGCCTTCGGTTCTGCAAGCTGTTAGAGAGGGTTTGCGTGATGAAGCAACATAGGGTAGGGATCTTACTGGGGCGCATCAATGCTTCGTCGACAGTGCGGACACGTGTTGTGCTGGTTCAGCCACAGCTCGATGCAGCTGTAGTGAAACCAATGGCTGCAAGGTAGCACCGTGACCTCAGTCCCTAGCTCCACCGTGTCCATGCAAATCGAGCATTCTGCTCGACCTTCGCTCCCCAGCATCTCCTCGTCAACCTTCTTCTTCGGCAGCGATTGGATCGCACTGGGCGGGGCTGGTGGTGGCGCTCCGCGGTTGGCGTTCTGTTCCATCAGCTGAGAGATCACGCGGTCCAGCTCCTCCTGCGAGTATACTGCGTCCCCATGACGATCGAAGTTTAGCAACGTGGACAGCATGGCGAGGGGATTCGGCCCCGTCATCACCCGGACGCCGCCAGTGCCACCTGCCTGTGTGTTGGTGCCGAAATCCGAGCGGAACAGCTCCAAGATACTGATAATCATTAGCCCTGCAATATGAAGCAACGTCATCGGCAGCACCTACTCGCCCAGAGTCCGCAGAGGATTATTCACCGGTTGCGGACCATCCGCATCTCGCGGGTGCAGACCGCCGTCCCGCGTGCCGGTCCGGCCCTCCGCCTCGATGTCAAAGGCAAAAGATCCCAGTGTCCTCCCGCGGTCGCGATCTGTGCCTGACGCTTGAGCTTGGCCGCCTGGGCGATTTTGCTGTCGGTAGGTGCTTGCGAGACCATGGAAGATGCTATCTAGACCCTGCACCATCGGCATTAGTGGATCGGGATTTGCCTGTCGCTGTTGGGTCGGAGGTGACCCCCCTCGGAGGCCATGGGTATAGGTTGTGGTGGAAAAGGTGAAGCGGCCGTCCGGAGACCGATAGGTGCGATGGGTGAATCCATTCCCATGTCCGGGACCCCAGCCTTGATCGAGATCATCATCTTCCTCCTGGTGTGCCCAGGGGTTGTGGTCTGCCCATGGATTCGGGGAGCGGGCGTTGGCCGCGGCGGGGGGCGAGGGGGGTCGGTGGAATGAGGGCGGGGGCTCGGCGTCGGGATCTGGCGGGATTTCGATCTGGGATGGTCAGATAGGGTTGCATGGAAGTGATAGCGGAAGAGATCGTACAATTTCAGTAAAGTCTGACTCGCAGTGCGGACAGATCATGCCCTGAGCTTCGCGCAGCCAGACGCCGCCACAAGCATGGCAGAACATGCGGTCCCCCACGTCGGCCATGGCGATCCGGAATCCAACGGCGAAACGAGGCGTGGATGAGAGGGGGACAATAGAAAGGTGGGGTGGAAGGTTGTCACCGTAGACACTAGTCAGATGGTGGTGCAGGAGACAAGATCTGACGAATCAATCAGGCAGAAGGGATGTTGCAGTGATGGTGGTTAATAGTTCGAGAGCAGCAGCAGCAGCGCAATGCAGCGTCATTCATGGCTCGTTGGGCACGCATTCGTTCATCCACAAGGGCCACGGGCGTGACGGGGACAAAGATTTAGAGCATGGGAATCATCCGACGGGTAGATATGCTAGATATCAGAAAGATACCGACATCAGATGACAGCAAGAGAAAGAATGGAGAGAAGATGGAGGAAAGTAAGAGAAAAGCAGGAAAGAAGAAGCGACTCGGGATGACGTTAGCCACCTGTGGCGCAGCTGAAGGTAAAGTAGTAGTGGTAGTAGTGATAGCATCCATTAACATTAATCACGCATCCAATCTTGCTGTCAGAACGCCCCAATGCAAGAATAAAAACACCCGAACAGCCTTATTTACACTCATGCACCCAGAACAATCAATTCACAGTCGCTGCCATCCCTCAGCGTCTCTTTGCCCCCCGCATCACCAATCCACCCACTACGCCGGCCGCCAGCGCCAGCCCACCCACGATGGCAATACCCATCAGGCCCTCCTTGGACACTTTTTCATCGATGAGCTGGCCTAGACTAGCGGCCTGCAGGTTCCCGGGTTCCTTATCACGCAGTAGATCGTTGTACCGACGGGCTTCGCCGTAGTTACCGAGCTTGTAGTTGCCCAGCGCGAGGTAGTACAGACATTCGCGACGTCGTTCAGGCGCAGCGCGGAAGATCTCCGACAGCAGACGAACACCCTCTTGTTGTTCGACCCGAGCGTTGGATTTAATCAGACCCTATACATGCCGTCAGCCGAATGGACTTGCATCGGGATATCTGCCGGTCCCTACCCAGGCGTAGTTGAACTTGGTCTGAATTCCCACGTAGTCACCTTCCTTCTCATACTGGGCGCGGAGCACCTGAAGTTCCGCTGGTTTTAGCGGACTGTGCACCGGTTAGCTTCGTGCTGGTTCTGGGGTATTGGTAGAGTATTCGATGGGGGAAAAGCGCTGACCTCTCAGCATCGGCGGCATCTGCATGCAGGCAGTTAGCGGAGGGAGAGGGACCAGCACCAACGGGGAGAGAAATACTCACAAGGAAGATTAGAGCCCATTCTGAAGAAATATCGATGTATCTGGTGGGAAGACGAAGACTTTTGGCCGGCAGCGACAAGAGAAGATTCGGAATCATGGCCGGGGCTGCCTGGCGTCACGCGCTGTGGCGGTGCGTGCGGCGGTGGCGGTTGCTCCAACAACAAACATCTCTCCACTTCCGGAGTGTATTTGCTGCCATTGCTATCAGTACTACAAGGTCGATATCTAACATTACAACGTATATACTCCTGGATCTACTGTCATCATGCTGCTCGACGAGAATCCCGCTGGTGTATGTCGCTTTCACCCCTTAATCATGCTTATTGCTGACTCTCCAGCTCATCAACCACACCATCGGCAACTTCAACATCCACCCCGATAAACAAGCCGTCACCCGCATCAATGACTCGCTCGCTGCGCTACAGCAATCGCGTGAGTTGCGCACGCGCGAAGCCGAATCAGCTTTGCGCAAGCTCTCCCGGCACCTGTCCGCCCTGACGGCCCAACATGAGGAGGCCGTGACGGCGCATGACTCCGGCAAGCACGCCGCGGAGATGGTCGAGCTGGACACGAAGAAATTCCGTATTGCCAAGTCAGCTACCGAGCTGGAGATTGAGAGTGAGCGGCTAGAGGGCGAGCTGGAGATGTTGAAGGAGCGACTGGCCGATCTGGAGGCGCAGGGGTTGGAAGGCGATGAGCCGACGCGCCGGGAGCGTGAGATGGATGATGCGACGCTGTGAGTACCTTCTCATAGAAAGTATATACGCCGACTAACTATTTTATAGGCTGCGATTGAAAATCTACCGGTCTCTAGGAGTGGACATCGAGGCCGACGACGCGGGCAACTTCACCAAGGCGGTGATCCGCAATAGTCGCAAGGGCGATGTGCATGTGGTGAACATTGACCCGAAGTTCTCGCGGTTCTTCTATTCAAACTACTTCTGGTCGACGATGCAGGGATAGATGCGTTGGGTGAGGATGGACAATTTGGACGGCGTTTACGGATATACCCTGGCTTGATATGACAATACTATGACTACTATTACATTCTATACATTAAACTATGCTCTATACACACGTAGACTAACATCTCCCCAACTCCCCTCTCACAACCTCCCTCTCCTCCTCACTCAACCCACTCACCCTCCCATCCCTAGCATACAACAACGGCTTCTCAAACGGAAACAACCGTTCCACGACCCCCAGCACCTCCTCCCACCTCTCTTCCCCAACACCCCACAACTCAAACCACCTCCTCTGCATAACCTCCATCCTCTCCACCACTTCATCCACCCCCGGAACTTCCTCCCCATCCCACGTCACCCTCGCCTCCGCATCCTGCTCACCAGCATCAGCACGATAAACAACCCCGACCCCCAACCCATCCCCGACAACCCCCTCGACCCTCTCATTCCAAAGTACCTGCCTCACCCTCCCCTCCAACCCAACAAGGCACCAAACCAACGGAAACCGACTCCTAGTCAGCGCTTCCCGCACGCCTCTCGTCGCCTCCCTCGGACTAACCAGCATCCCGATGACGCCTGTCCCGCGCCATCCCACCGGCGCCGATGCGAACGTGCCCTCGAGTTCGCGAACGATATTAGGCCCGAGTTTCGTCTTGAGCGCTTTGCATTGCACGAGCACGCGCGGCGGGTGTTCGTGTGCGGGGAGGTGCCAGGTTCCGACGAGGTCTGTGCCGGCGTCGGAGCGGCCGCCGGTGCGGTGGAGGAGGAGCGCGGAGGAGCGGAGGGTGGATTGGATGGTGTATTCGTAGTGGGTGCCGATGTAGGTTGTGCTTGTGGGAGGGAGGGAGGTGCGTGAGGCGTGGGCGAGGAAGGAGGGGAGTGTGGTGTGGGATGATGAGGATGGGGGGATTGGGGGGTGGGGGAGTTTGTAGAGACGGCGGGTTAGGGGGGATAGTGTTGTCATTCTTTCTCTCTTATAATAAGAGACTGTAGAGGTGCATTGGATGCGTGTGTGTATACTGTTGTTAATTGAGTACTAGTATTTACCGAAATAAATGGCGGAGTAGATTGAGATAGACGTACCTGGAGAGGAGAAGAGTAGAAGTTGGGGAAATACTTTAAATTTTGGGGTTTATCGGGCGGAATTCAAACTTATCGGGGAGCGGAGATTAGCTTAAGCTCTCTCTCTCATTTCACTTCTTCACTCTCCACTCCACCATCACCTATCGTCACTAGTTGTACAATCCTCACAACTACACTACTCTACTGTCCACTACAGTACAGCCACAAACAAACCAACAAGAAATAGACGAGAGAAAAAAACACAATGGCAGACATCCTCACGCAACTCCAAACCTGCCTGGACCAGGTACAACAACCCCATCCATCCCCTCAACCCAGACCCAACTAACCCAACCCAACTTAACACAGCTCGCAACCCAATTCTACGCAACCCTCTGCTACCTCACAACCTACCACGACAACATCCCCGCGACGCCGCCCCCAACATCCACAACGCCGAGCGCCGCACCCCTCCTCGCAAAAATTCCCAAGAACGCATCAACACCCCCGGTGCCCGCGTCCGCGCCCCAAGCAGCACAATCCCAATCGCAAGCGTCGCCGCCACCACCCGACAGCACCAACCCCCCGGGCCAGGGACAGAATGCAGACAACCAACAGCAACAAAACGCAGATGGGACAGCAGAAGGGTTACCTGCGCCGGACAGCCCCGCTACGTTTGCTGCGCGACAGAGGGAGTTGGCGCGGGATTTGGTGATTAAGGAGCAGCAGATTGAGTACTTGATTAGTGTGTTGCCCGGGATTGATAGTAGCGAGGCGGAGCAGGAGAGAAGGATTCGGGAGCTGGAGGGGGAGTTGAGGGTTGTGGAGGGGGTGAGGGAGGAGAGGAGGAGGGAGTTGGGGGCGTTGAGGAGGAGGTTGGAGGGGGTTTTGGGGGTGGTGGAGAGGGGGATTTATTCTAGGGGTTAGATTTTTATGATATATGATACTACTAAGTAACTGATGTCTTGTTTTGTTGGGCTGGATATGATGGAGTATGAAGTTGACTTGCGTCTTCTAATTAGCTTAGCTTAGCTTAGCTTTCTTTGTCTTTCTTTCTTCCTTTCCTTTCCTTTCCTCCGTTCTCCTCTATCGTGTATCACGGAATTGACCACATAGCAAAAGGAGATAAGACCAATCAGATCAAATGAATGGGTGGGAAACAAATCCAGATGCATGAAATGAGGGTGAAAAATCCAGGAATGCAGTAAATCAACCAAACGCCTCTCGGGTATCAAACCAGTATTATCAGTATGAGCGCAGCATCTCCTTCTAGTGAATATGGTGCTTCACTAGGGAATGAAGGAATCATCGGTATGTCACCATCACTTGAATAAACTCCGGTATTCGCGCATGCGATGCTCTTGCACCTCCTTCTTGTCCAGCTTGCCCCTGTTCAAGCTCAGATCTGCCAGCTGCTGCTTCTTCTTCGCTAGCTCGAAGATCTTTTCCTCAATACTGCCCTTCATCAAGAACTGTACTGTCGTCACTTCGCGCGTCTGCCCGATGCGATGTACGCGGTCCACGGCCTGCGCCACTGCCGCTGGATTGTACTGCGGCTCCATTATATACACCTTGGACGCCGCTGTCAAGTTCAGACCCACGCCGCCGGCCCCGATCGTCGCCAGGAGCACCGTGATGTCCGGGTTACTGTGAAACTCCTCCAGCGCCTTGCTTCGCGCTGCCAGACTCATCGTCCCATCGAGCCGTGCGAACCCGTTGATGTCGTTGTCGCGCAGCGCAATCTCAATTAAGTCCAGGTGCGACGTCCACGCCGAGAACACCACGCTTTTGATCGGCCGCTCCCCGGGCCCTTGGCTCTTA